ACTGGAAGCGTGAGTGGGTCTGGTTTGAGTATCTTCCATCGCCAGAGGGCACCAGTGCCGTAGTGATGACAGCATAGGCGCCTTCCGTATCACTCACTCACTCACTCACTCACTCACTCACTCACTCACTCACTCACTCACTCACTCACTCACTCACTCACTCACTCACTCACTCACTCACTTACTAATGAATGAACGAATGAATGAATGAATTATGCTTCACCGTTCTCACTTTGACCGCAGTTCGAGTATATACCATATAGGTCTTAGACCTCTGCATGTCGACGTCTTATGTTTCAATAAGATGACATACACAGTGCGTCCCACTCGTACGATAAGGTATACTTCTCTTGCCCCGTGCCCTCCCGCAGATTCGACGAAGGTCTCCTAAGTGGCCCCGTTGTCTGCCTCCAAGTTCTGGGAGAGAGGGTTCTCGCGAGGCTCAGGAGTCAGCCGGTGAAGAGAGGAAGCGAGGAACTAGGCGAGCAAGGTAGGACTTGACGACTTCGGAACAGAGCTCTCTTCAATTTACACGTAGGCAGAAGAATGAAATTAGTTTGCCGGAAATGAGAGAAGGAAACGAAGAAGTGTTTTGCACCAGGTTCTGCATCCACGAGACTGAGTTACCGTAAGAGAGCGTCTAGGCTGTTCTACGGGTACTACCAAATTACCATCGTTAAAGAACCCCAGGTGGTCGAAATTTCCGGAGCCCTCCACTACGGCGTCTCTCATAATCATATGGTGGTTTTGGGACGTTAAACTCCACAAATGAATCAAATCAAATTACCATGACGATCGGCGACATATAGCCATACATTTGCCGTAGTACATAGTGCCCGTTTTCGAAAGGCACTGCGCGACTGATAGGGAAATTGCCGTCGTTCCATTTTGTGAATACAGACGTCAGTATGTACCTACCTGGAAAAATTATACCTTGAAGCTGTGGGTAGCGCAGTCTAGGAAATTTGATACTTTATTCCGAGAATGTTATCGGCTGCGCGTGACCAAGCAAGACCGTTTCATAAGCATGCGCGTGGACTGTGTAAATGTTGCAGTGCCGTACTAACACATTATTCTTTCGAAAAATCCAATGAATGACCGCTCTGTTACTTTTTCTTTATATTTCAGCCTATTGTCGCTTTCGTATTCAGATGTCAGAAATATTTATTAAAATGCTGTCTGGCTTACTAGGTGGCTGATTGGTCGTCCGGTATGGTGGCTTAAGTTACTTGCTTTACTCGGTTTTCTGGTCTTGATAGATTTCTGGCTATTCGTTACCTTAACAAGCTTCCTTGACAAATGGGGTGTCCCTACTGATCGTGCAGCTGTCTTCGTGCATACGTTCTGCAAGTTTGCTTCCCCCCGGCCTTTTTTCCCTCTTTGTCTCTCCTTCCCAAAGGAGCAGGTGCTGTGCTCCTATATACGTGGTGGTTGTCAGCCTGTTTCTCCCCCATTGCCCCTGTGTCTTCATGTTTTTGTGTATACAAACATAATAATAATAATAATAATAATAATAATAATAATAATAATAATAATAATAATAATAATAATAATAATAATAATAATAATAATAATAATAATAATAATAATAATAATTGTACGCAGTGCACGAAACTTTGTTATTTTTAGGTATTTGATTTTACACGCATATATTACTAGAATGGCGACTTTTGAATTGACTCTCGATTTTTTGTGAGCCCGGAATGTTCAAAGAAGGGCGAAGTCCTACCTCTTTCTTTTTTTTTTCAAGATTTCGATGACAATTTCGAAATTTCGACAGCCACTCGACAGCTTGCTGCTCCGTGCTGGCTGAGGAGAGAAACAGTGAACCTAATCTATAGGCAGCTTGCAGTAAGCTCCCCGCTTAGTTGTTGCCTTAATCAGAAGGTAGTAGGGGGCTCATTGCCCCCAGCTCCCGGGTCGTGTACATTTAGCATCTCTAATTAGCGACAGCATTTTAGAACGGTAGCTCTACAGCGACCACTGGATCAAAAAAAAAATTACTGTAGCGGCCGTGGCTCTACTGCTACAGATTGAGAACCAGAACCGCCTAGCTCAGCCAAGCTTATCCCAGCTTCACTGAGCAACTTCAGTGCCGCATAAAATTACTTACGAATTGCCCAGGAGACGGCGCAAAGTTTTTGCTAGAGTCTGGCTATGAGCACGCACCTACCTTCCGTTCCATGAGCCTAGCCAGTTGTCGCAACGACGGACAAAGAGCTTCAGAAACACGGTAGTCACGCTGAAGAATAAGTGCGCTTGCATGCGCACTTACTGTACCTATAAGTGGTAACGCCGCGAATCTGGGCGTGAGACATGCTGCAGCTCAACGAAGAAAGTTTGTCGACACGATGCGCACTTTGGGTGCGCAGAGCGGCTATAGCACGTCGCCCCCAAACCTGCTAGTCTTACTTCATGTATATAGGGTTCCAGTGTTTCTCTATCGTATTAACTGCTTCGACATTGCGGCGAAACTGAGGATCTTCATTGAAGACATGTAGTATGGTGCTGGAGTGAATCTTGGAAAAAAAAAACATGTTCTAAATATCGATCGCCGCAATGACAGATTTCATTTATGTACGCTACTCTCAAGCTAGACCGTTCTAACTTCCCGCCATTAAGTACTTTTCACGACTAGAGTGCACTAGATCTAGTGTCTAGTACGCTCTATGATGGCGGCGTTCTCTATTTGTAATCCTGTCTCATGCTATATTCTGTCACATGCATGTGGTTGTTCCTGCTATACCATTCTAGCCTGTTCAAATCATTCGTTTTTTTTTTCAAACAGCGGGCACACTGTCAAGTCTATGCTGGATATCGAAGGACAAGCCGTCAGCTGAGAAGGTTTGCCAAGAAATTCACTGCAACACCACTTATAGATATATTACTTTATTTATTAAATTCCTTAATGTGGATAAACAACAACACATTAGTATAGAACTCCCCTTTTCGCTCCTTAAGGTGGAGGACATTTTTTAGAAAAAAATTATTTACAGCATGTGCAGAACACAAAGGCTTCATACCGTTCCAGTAACAGGGCATATACACCTCGGCACATCTATATTTCACGACTAACATCACTACGTTACTTTGGGTGAATTAGAATTGCTAAGAGTAGTACGAAACACCCTTTATGTACTCTACTATGGGAGAGCACAAAGCCGTCCCGAAGGCCTATAGATGGGGGGGGGGGGTAGAAAAAATGTTTAACGATTTCGAGTACTTGGTACTCAACTATGCGAGAACAGTAAGCCGTCCCTACAGATGTCGAAGATTTTTCAGATACAGTGTGACATGGCTGGTATCAACAGGAGAATCAACTAAGTTGACTAAACAATCTAGGCTATTATGTGGAAAGCTACACTTTGAACGGGTTCACTATGACAGGCTCACGATTAAGTTTCATTAATTACCCCCCCCCCCCATTCTCCGCCCCCCTTGAATCCGATAGCTGTTAGATTAAACGCTGTTGTAGTCAACAGCGTTGTGTCTTTGACTCGACAGTACATCTATTTTCGAAAAAGCCATTGCTCTTTTATGTGGCCTGGTTGAAGGCGTCCTCCAGCTTTTGGGACCAATTTTTTTAGAGGAACGCCACAGTACATTGACCAGCTTTCCGCCTCAGTGTAATCTTTGAGTGATGGAGTGATACCCTAGTAGCACCGTCAACTTTATGCTGCGTCTACGCAGGTGGGAAGCGCATGTCCATGAATCTCTACATATAGCTGCACAAGGAGGCAATGTTCATCACGATTGTGCTCTTGTATCCTCATGTAGCATTAAGCTGTGTAGGATAAACCTCTTTAGAGCAAGTATACTTTAAAAATTTTGTCAGAGTCCTGTCTATCTCTCTAGTATCCAAAATATGAGTGTGGTGTGGTACAATGAATTTTATTCGGGTCCCGAAGATCATAGAGTGACTCAGGTGGTTTCCATGGTGGGACATAAGGTTCAACCTTACCGCCTTATCCTGGACCTTCTGGGCGGCCTGTGCTTGATATGATTGAGTTCCACTCTGAAAGAACCCTTAGCGACTATAGTCTGTTTTCTAATTGTCACAGCCTGGCTTATATTTTTGACTTCATAGGATTAGGATAATCGGGTCGATCATTCACGCATGCATAATCTGAGTGTTTTTATTTGCAATTTCAATCGAGGTCGCTTTGAATCGGTTGTCATGGGATATATCATTAAATGAGTGATTTTTGAGAAAAAAAGAAAGGAGAACCATTTCGAAATATTCCACCACCAACGTTTCTTGCGTTCCGCATACAAAAAACGGAAGCAGTCAAATATGAGGCGACGTCGTGAAATTTTGGTGGGGTGCAGTGAAGGCATCACCGTGCTTTGTCGGGATTCTCGACCTCGGGTAAAATTAGACTTCATTGAAACAAAAAGATAGCGAAATCTGGTGAAATCGATCGCCCACTGTGATATGTGCGCGGAGACGCGCCGCTGTGCCACTACGTTAACAGAACTGTATTTTATAGGAGCTCTGCTTTAGGCCGCACCATCAGTTCAAATAGTGCACATTAGGAGGGATCGTACAGTTCAGATCATTTGTTCTAAAATGATCCATTACGACAGCATAAATAGAAATATAGGAGGCACGATGACAGCCCTGAATTTCATTTTTAACGTCCGTCTCCTTTGTGAGGTTGCCAAAGTTGATGCTTGGAGCAGTTGCTTGGACATACTTGAAATAAAAACGGCATGAGACACAGAAGGCGAGTAAAGAAATTACACTGACAAGAGGACTGACTTACCAGAAGGTTCATCATTGGCTCGCTTCTGCCATTTTTATCATATTTCTTTTTTTTGTTACAGACTGAGCCGCCTTAGATTACACGATTGCGATGACACCTTGTTGTAAGTGAGCGCTATTGTCCGCGTCCTTCTTGCACTGATCATCTGTGTCTTACGCATTTTTACTTTCCTTCGTAAGGGCTCGAGTTGCGGTTATTGTAGTAAAAACATCAGCACATTTTCGGGGCTTAATGTATGCTAGCTGAGGCGAAACGTCATGCATATGACAAGCAGCCATACTGAAATACTTTAGTAAGCAGAAGTAAGAGGATCTTCATACATTCAAGGGAGAGAGACGGAGAGATTAAAGGAAGGATAGAAGAGGGGGCCAAAACCTGAACCTTCTATAGCTCCTAGGAGGTGCTTCTTAGGCGATACGCCGCGGCGGTTTGGGGAGCTGAGGCTCAGTAGACTACACTATAAATATGTCAAAGCGTGCTAGCAAGTGCATGACAGTTATCTAGAAAAAAAAAAACAGCTTTCCACAGGCTGTGAAGGTGTACACTTTGGTCGGAGCTATAGGTTTGGCAGGTATTTGAAAAGTCATAGCTGAGATGAGGTGTGGTTGTCATCATGGTCAGTTGCCGTGGGTTCAGTGTGCCGTTTTTTTACGGATCGCTCGGTTCAGTGCTGTTTTAACGAGTGAACTCACTTCTGAGATAACCTGTGTGACTAAGAAATGATTGGGACACCCAAGTAAACTTGAGCAAAATGTATTTCGCAAAAGTACAATATTATTTCACCCAGCTGTGTTTCAGAAAGTTTGTGCAAATGATCTTTTTAAGGTGTTATAAAAGTTACGTAAGTCTACAGTTTATTTATTTATTTATTTATTTTTCAGGAATCCGCGTTGCTTTTCGGAACCCAATTCGAGCGCCACTGCAACACAGCAATTTTTGAAAACACGACCTGCTGCGTCGTCAAGCCACACTTGTTCAGAGATGGTTTGTGCGCATTTTCTTCTTTAGTTTTAGTTTTAAGAGAGAAAACGATACAAAGACTTTTTTCGCACTTCCCTTCAGATCAAGTTGACAACCAAAAGTGCACGTGGCACTTTTGGTTGACGCCTTGTTTTCTGTAGATTTTGTCAGGCGACGGAACAAGAGCACACATTATGTAAGCTGCGACCATGGTTGCTCGATGAAGTGGCCGTGTGCATACTAACCACGGGCGTCGGAAAGGGTTGGCAATGTGGGATAGTGAAAGTCGACAGTAGACGGAACAAAAAAGACAATTATCGAATCTCAGGGGTGCTCTAATAATACAGAAATGACCACAAATAAAGCAAAAGTTGCACAAATGCACTTACCATCGATCAGCACCAGCGAGAATTTTGAGCGACGTGATTTGATATGGAAGTGGGAGCCACAAGTGATTCGTTCACGAGTTGCAAATACTAAAACGTCGCTTGTAGTCCCCTGGCTGTGCGACTTGTCAAATTGTGCAGGGTTCTTTTTTTTTTTTGTGTGTGTGTGGTGTCACCCAGTGGGTTATCATAGCAACCATCTAATGCTTAGTTTGAGGGCGGGTGTCCAAGTGCCGTCTGTCATAGACACGTGACTGGAGAGAGATGACTAGAAAAAATATAGATGTAAATCTTCGTAAGTGCATGTTATGGTTGGGTACTAGAAGAAAGCGGATAACCACTAGGGTTCGTGGCTTTCAATTCTGAAGTCGCGTAGGTTCGCACTACGCCGCGCTTTTTGCATTTAGGAATAATCTTTACTAACCAGCCCGAATGGCTGTTTTGATAGGTCGACCTACCTGGCTGAAGGCTGGCTAGGTTCTTTTCTGTTTTGCTTTTTAAATAAAGTGTGCCTTTCTCTCTGGCGAACATCGAAACACTCGCAGGGTCCCTGTTACGTCCGCCTTAGTCGACTCGAAAACGAAAGCCATCATATTTTCCTTCTAAATCGATATATATTAAACCTCTCACATGACCCCTCCGAAAGCGTCCTGTACGTGCACGCCTTGTTTTGCACCACCATAGGCCGACGTCGGGACAAGCAGGGATGTCATGTGGTGATGTCTCCATACGACGTCATGACGACGTCACAAATTTTGGCTATCGGTAACGTCGTAGTGACGTCATGCGGTGACGTCAGCACGTGCTGACTTTTTCATAAAGTCTCGTTGTCGCCGTGGACGGGGGATGCCGACGCCGGACTTTGGTCAATTGTCGCGTTTGATTAGGCATGTGAGGCTTTCGCCTTGATATATCAAGGCGAAATTTACCACCTCAAAACGTAAATATTGCATACGTTTCGAGGTGGTAAATTTGCAAGCTCGCAACATTACAACACATTACAGCGAGCGCCAGTACGTTTAAAACCTTAGCTATCACACCTCTGGGAAGTATAGCTTCAGACTGCACAAAACCGTCGTCTCAAATGACTGACACGCACGCAGAAAATCAACAAACTGTTTGTACATTAAAAGGGTTGGGGGGCGCCTTTCGCGAATTTCTGACATCTGATTTTCGCGATTTCACCAGGCATTGCCAGGAAAAAGCTTTAACACTGTCGAATTTTGAGCAGCAAATATGTCGAGCCTTCGGCGGTGCTTGTGTTTCCTGGTTCGGCTGCGTCGTGCCTTATAGAGGGAATTGAGTGTTTCAATTTGTGTTGCAACAGACCATCATCATCATCATCATCATCATCATCATCATCATCATCATCATCATCATCATCATCAGCCTGGCTACGTCCACTGCAGGACAAAGGCTTCTCCCATGTTCCGCCAGTTAACCCGGTCCTGTGCTTGCTGCTGCCAATTTATACCCGCAAACTTCTTAATTTCATCTGCCCACCTAACCTTCTGTCTCCCTCTAACCCGCTTCCCTTCTCTGGGAATCCAGTCAGTTACCCTTAATGACCAGCGGTTATCCTGTCTACGCGCTACATGCCCTGCCCATGTCCATTTCTTCTTCTTGATTTCAGCTATGATATCCTTAACCCCCGTTCGTTCCCTAATCCACTCTGCTCTCTTCTTGTCTCTTAAGGTTACACCTACCCTTTTTCTTTCCATTGCTCGCTGCGTCGTCCGTCGTCCTCAATTTAAGCTGAACCCTCTTTGTGAGTCTCCAGGTTTCTGCTCCGTAGCTAAGTACCGGCAAGATACAGCTGTTATATACCTTACTCTTGAGGGATAGTGGCAATCTACCTGTCATAATTTGAGAGTGCTTGCCGAATGTACTCCACCCCATTCTTATTCTTCTAGTTACTTCAATCTCGTGGTTCGGCTCCGCGGTTATTACCTGCCCTAAGTAGACATAGTCTTTTACAACTTTAAGTGCACTATTACCTATCTCGAAGCGCTGCTCTTTTCCGAGGTTGTTGTGCATTACTTTCGTTTTCTGCAGATTCATTTTAAGACCCACCTTTCTGCTCTCCTTGTCTGATTCCGTAATCATGAGTTGCAATTCGTCCCCCGAGTTACTCAGCAATGCAATGTCATCGGCGAAGCGCAGGTTACTAAGGTATTCTCCATTAACTCTTATTCCTAACTGCTCCCATTCTAGGCTTCTGAAAACCTCCTGTAAACACGCGGTGAATAGCATTGGGGAGATTGTGTCCCCCTGCCTTACACCCTTCTTGATTGGTATTCTGTTGTTTTCTTTATGAAGCACTATGGTAGCAGTTGATCCCCTGTAGATTTCTTCCAGAATGTTTATATATACTTCATCTACGCCCTGATTTCGCAGTGTCTGCGGAATCAGGGCGTATCAGGGTGAATCAGGGCGAATCAGGGTGACACAACAGACCATAGGTCGGGAAAAAATTTGAAGCTCACTAAGGCTCAATCGTGAATCGTATCATGCGCTTTGGACTCACTCTGAGTCAGACTAATCAAAATTCTCGAAAGCCAGGCTCACTCGCACCGCTTTTTCAGCTGGACTAACCCATGCACAAACTCTCAAAAATATTACTCACCCTTGATTCTATACTAACTGAGACTAAGTCTCACGGTTCGATCTGAGTCTGAGTGATTCTGACTGAGTAGACTCAAGAGTTCGTTAGCCTAAAGAATTAGCTTGTTCCACCATGTCTTTAGAGGAGAACAGCGGTGATTTTTGATATTCACCGATTTCAATAAAGCTTTGAACATGTGTTCTCGTTTTACTGTGGTTATATCTAGTGAATTATGCTAGCGTAAGCCGTTTTCTCTTTAGAAAACCAAATTTAAAAACTGTTAGCCAATTCTGTAATCATGCTTGTAAACGCGCGCCAGCCTGTGTATGTGACGTAAGGGCCTACTCGTTCAAAACACTGATTTACCTATAGCAGATGGATTCAGCGCGGGCTTTCTTCTACGAGGCGACCACGACGTGAGCACGGTTCAGTTTTGTCAGCTGCATACAGCGTGTTAGTAGTCGTTGACGCCGGGTCTTGCAAGCATGCACAATATCAGGCAACGAGGACATCGATCAGGGGCACGCCAAATGCTTCACGTGCCGGCGGGTCGAAATCAAAAGGCGATGTCTCCACGCTCGGATAGTAAATGCAATCATCGCCGAACTTGTCACTGCAGTAAGTTCGGGCGAGTTCGCACAGCTTGAGCCTGCGTCGGATGACGTCGCAAACTTGCTTTTCGCGTGTCAGAAGAGGCACGTGATCTACGTTTACAACCCTGGCCAGCCGTAGTAGTGTATATCGGATGTCTTCACGTAAGCGGATGCGTATATAGTGACGTCATTAGATAACCATTACGGAGAAGGGAGCAGCTTCCTGTTTGGGTTTCTGTTTTGACTCAACGTGTGTCTGGTCAAAAGAAACCGCCCTAGCTGTTGCACTGCTGTCAATTTTATTTGAAAACTGCATTATCTCAGTACGGTCGAGAATGCACCGGAGTTCCTCTTTAACACCAATATCTCACGTAATCGGTGCTCTTCTTGGCGCCGTTTGATACAGTTCCTTGGAATACGAGTTATAGTGGTTACAAATGTGTCAGGATATCTTTCTTGGAAGAGATGGCAACGTCAGATATATTTATCAAGAACTTCCCTGAAAGAGTTGGCGGGGGGAAAATCAAGGCACCCCCTTAGCTGAGCCATTCACTGCTCTAATGAATAAATATTGAAATGGTGTATCAACGATACTGCTGTGTAATACGTGTGAGTAGACGCAGGTGTAATCCTGAATCTAGGTAAGGCTGCTAGTAAAGCTAAAGATGCGTAAATAGAAACATAGGCCGACAAAGAAGTACAACTCATTCTGATTCACGCAAAAAATATATCTTGGTTCACTCGCACCCAGGCTCACCATACATCTCCTGAGCCGGACTCATTCGGACTCAATCTCACTAGATATTACTCATCCGTACTGACTCAAACCTGGACTCATGGCTTGTTCTCACTCTGAGTGAGTACGAGTGAGGTGACTCATGGGTAAGATTGCCGACCTATGACGTGCTGATCGATGGGTATAAGTCGGTTGTGCTTCCCTATAAACCCAACTAAAACTGATGTTATAAAAAATGCAAATTAGTATTAAAACAAAGATACGACACGGCATCCAATATTTCCAAAACACTGAGAAAATGCGTCTTTTGTCAACCGAATCATGTATATAGTTATCGGACAGTTTCTAACCCATCTTTTGAATTCCACATTCAGTCGCGTTGGAGATCCGGTTGCGTTGGATATTCAGTTGCGTTGGGCATTCGATCTCAGGCGGAAATTATCGCATCTCGTAGCGAATTTCGCCTCAATTGGTATTCAAGCTTTGAATCCCCATATTGTGGTTTTTAAAGACAAAATCCCAGCAATTATTGTTTTCATGATTATGTCGTTTGCATTACAGGGAACGTCAGCACTGCGCTGCGCAAAATACTGACTTCAGACTTTGAAGTTACAGCGCTACAGATGGTGAGTGGTTTTAGAGATCCGACATCCTCAATCTAACATGAATTCTGCGCATCTCGCTAACAGCACGTGATACGAAATCAGTGTGGATGAAACAAAGTAATTTCATCTCACAAAACAGACCAATGGGGTCAATGTATGGCGGCCGAATGAAAGCAAACGTAGGTTATAGGCTTTCCATTATGGCCGATTTAGTTTAGGATATACACTATGGCCAGATTAATATGCACGTGAAAACTTTATAAACATCGGCAAACGGAGGCTTCATGGCTTTAGAGATCTCTTGGAATAGGAATAAAGCAGATGTGAGGCACATTTAAGAGATAGCGAGGGTTTCAAAAACAAAATCATGATATGAACTCTAGTTTTGTCGTCTTCGCTGCTGAATTGGCTTCCTGAAGGTGCCATCAAAGTATGCTAATAGTAACAATTCGTTAACGCTTAGTCATCATCATCTTCATCAGCCTGACTACGTCCACTGCAGGAAAAAGGCCTCTCCCATGTTCCGCCAGTTAACTCGGTCCTGTGCTTGCTGCTGCCAATTTATACCCGCAAACTTCTTAATCTCATCTGCCCACCTAACCTTCTGTCTCCCCTAACCCGCTTCCCTTCTCTGGGAATCCAGTTAGTTACCATTAATGACCAGTGGTTATCCTGTCTACGCGCTACATGCCCTGCCCATGTCCATTTCTTCTTCTTGATTTCAGCTATGATATCCTTAACCCCCGTTTGTTCCCTAATCCATTCTGCTCTCTTCTTGTCTCTTAAGGTTACACCTACCATTTTTCTTTCCATTGCTTGCTGCGTCGTCCTCAATTTAAGCTGAACCCTCTTTATAAGTCTCCACGTTTCTGCTCCGTAGCTAAGTACCGGAAAGATACAGCTGTTATATACCTTCCTATTGAGGGATAGTGGCAATCTACCTGTAATAATTTGAGAGTGCTTGCCAAATGTGCTCCACCCAATTCTTATTCTTCTAGTTACTTCAATCTCGTGGTTCGGTTCCGCGGTTATTACCTACCCCAAGTAGACATAGTCTTTTACAACTTGAAGTGCACTATTACCTATCTCGAAGCGCTGCTCCTTTCCGAGGTTGTTGTACATTACTTTCGTTTTCTGCAGATTGATTTTAAGACCCACCTTGCTTCTCTCCTTGTCTAACTCCGTAATCATGAGTTGCAATTCGTCCCTTGAGTTACTCAGCAATGCAATGTCATCGGGGAAGCGCAGGTTACTAAGGTATTCTCCATTAACTCTTATCCCTAACTGTTCCAATTTTAGGCTTCTGAAAACCTCCTGTAAGCACGCGGTAAATAGCATTGGGGAGATTGTGTCCCCCTGCCTTACACCCTTCTTGATTGGTATTCTGTTGCTTTCTTTATGAAGCACTATGGTAGCAGTTGATCCCCTGTAGATTTCTTCCAGAATGTTTATATATACTTCATCTACGCCCTGATTCCACAGTGTCTGCATGGCGGCTGATATTTCTACTGAATCAAACGCCTTCGCGTAATCTATGAAGGCTATGTATAGTGGTTGGTTATACTCTGAGCATTTCTCTATTACCTGATTGATAGTATGAATGTGGTCAATTGTTGAGTAGCCTGTTCGAAATCCTGCTTGTTCCTTTGGTTGATTGAATTCTAATGTTTTCTTTACTCTGTTAGCAATTACCTTTGTAAATAGCTTGTATACTACAGAGAACAAGCTGATCGGCCTGTAATTCTTCAAGTCCTTCTCATCTCCTTTCTTATGTATTAAGATGATGTTAGCGTTCTTCCAAGACTCTGGTACCCTTCCCGTCAGGAGACACCTCGTAAACAGGGTGGCTAGTTTTTCTAACACAATCTGTCCTCCATCTTTCAGCAGATCTGATGTTACCTGATCCTCACCAGCAGCTTTGCCTCTTTGCATGCTCTCCAAAGCTTTTCTGACTTCTTCTATCATTACTGGTGGGGTGTCATCTGGGTTACTGCTAGTACTTATAGTATTAAGGTCGTGGTTGTCTCGGCTACTGTACAGATCTCTGTAAAACTCCTCCACTATTTTAACTATCCTATCCATATTGGTAGTTATTTTGCCTTCTTTGTCCCTTAGTGCATATATCCGACTTTTGCCTATCCCAAGTTTTCTCTTCACTGCTTTGACGCTTCCTCCGTTTTTCAGAGCGCGTTCAATTCTCTCCATGTTAGACCTTCTTACATCACATACTGTACGTGTGTTAATCAACGCTTAGTAAGTAGACTTATCCAAATATTCGCTTCCTTTTACTGCAATGCAACAAGTGCGCTTCACCCTAGTACATAACTTTACTGCAAAAAAGCCAATAAAAAACTCTGTGCAGCTTGTTTTTTTTTTCTTACCTTTAGCAGTGAAAGGCAGGAAACTGGGCTGGTTATAATTAACAGCTCGTAATAATCTTTAATAAACTTATTTTTTTTACAAGATGCGTGCATGTAAAAAAAAAACAATTACTAATGAGCAATTTGCAAAGTGGCTTTGCCTGCAAACAGTAATGTCTAACAGTGAAGTAGTAAATGTGGACGTGTGTTTTCTGGTTTACATTTTGTTGCCTGTTTCATTCTCCGAAGAACTTGCAATGCCCATTTATACAACACTACTTTTCAACGAAAGCTTGCCAATATGAGTTTCTGAACTCTCTTTCTTTCTAGGTGCGAGCACTGCTCTCTCTCTCACTTTATATCTCTTTTTTTTTCATGAAATATTAAAGGCGTGCGAACAACGCGAACAAATGTTAAAGAAACAAAAGAACACGGGAATATTCTTCTGGGAATATTTCTTTGCTAGATGTAACCTATGAAACCAACAGACAAGTAAGTTAATAAAATCACAGGGAATATCATTTGTTTAAATAACGTAATATAATACATGTATAAATATGTAATGGGAGGATTCAAAATAGACAAAAAAGAACAATTTACGTCATTGGGATCACAACCCAGAGCCTTCGAAGTGCGCGAACATGCATGCCGAGTAATGTGGACGAGGTAGCGCCGTCCGTCGCAGCTTGGCAGCATTGCACGCGTTATGCGGAGGTTGTGGCTTCGGTGCTAATGGACAGAAAGGGTCTTTTGTCCTCTTGAATTCCGCCAAGGTTGAATCATAATTATTTACAGTACAGGAAAAAAACAAATTATGTCACCTATGTGTTTTCCTTGACTTGACTGTCACTTGGTTTCATTAGTTGTGACGGGCGAAGTCTCATGTATACTCAAGCACTTCTGTGCCAGTATACTTCGCGTCCGTGCTGCTCGTGCTCCTTCAACCTGTCATGGAATCGAAAAAACTATTCCGAACGTTAAGGATGTTAGAATGCAATTTTTTTCTCTGTGTTTTATATATACATATCTTTTATGTTGCAGTTTCACCTTGATTGCGCAAAGGCCGAAGAGTTTCTCTTGGTGTACAAAGGTGTCGCTCCACACTACACCGTAAGCTTTTTGTTCTCTATATTTTTTTTCTAAGAATATTTGGATTAGCACTAAAGCTAGTCTGGAGAACTAAGATGTAAGACAAAAAAATTCAAAACGGAGGTCCCTTTGCAGTCTTTTACTTCGGGACCTCCTTATGTATAGTATCACTATGCGAACTTCGTACTAATTATAATAAAATTGATTCTGATCTTGATTCGGACCCAGAGGCCATCCTCCCCCTCCGCACCCTCCACACATACTTGTCGCTTTTCGTTCCGGGCTCACTTTTTGTAACAAATCACGGGCTCACTTTTCGGCCGCATGTGATCGCCTACATAGATAAAACTCTGTAGCGTGGCAAAACGTGGACCGAGCAAGGAAAAAACTTTTTTCCTATTTTCTTCATCTCTCTCCTTCCGACTGTTCACAGCGCGGAAAAATAAACCAACCTACGAAGCAGGAGCGTTGCCAGAAATATTTATGTGTGTTCGTACGTATATGTCCTCATCAACACCTTCTATCTCCTTTTTTTTTCTACGCCTTCATCTTTTCTAACGCTGAGTAGCAGGCCTGAAAATAGGATCAGGCCGACATCTCAGCTTTTCTGCGACAATAAACATTTCTCTGTGTGTGTGTTTCGGCGTATAGTATGCCCATACAAAATTGAAAACCATCAAGGGAGCTCAATACCAAGGAAAACAGACCACACATATCGCACATACACACATACCGGATGTTTCTTTGTTTTTATTTTTTGGTAATCTTTGAGCTCGATTAGTTCAAGCAGAAATAGTTTCTTACAAGAAATATTGAAATACGTGTTCAATGAATCATCAGAATTGGCTTGTTAACTTCTCAAATAAATACTTCTAGATGCCTCTTGAAAGTTGTCGATTGTGAATTGTGCATGCACAATGCACATGCCCGCTATAATGAATTTTCCGAGGTGACCCCAGCTTGTAGATTTCAATTCAGAAAGTGTATAACGAAGTGAATGGGCATTCCAGCAACTTCTGTGCTCCGTGCTCAAAACAATTTTTTTATAAAGTCACGAAAAGAACAGTCCAGATTTTAAAAATTAGTATTGATTGTTTGGTATTGCGCACCAAAATCATGACATGATCTTGAAGCATTCCGAAGTGGGTGACTTCAGATTAATATTTTTTTTGTTCCACTCAGGGGTGCTTAACGGATACCGCTATATATGAATGCGCGGGTGTTTCTGCATTCAGCTTGCATATAAATGTGGCTACCGCTGCCGGGAATCAAAGCACGCGGGAACACCGATGGTGCACTATAGCCAATAAATTATAGCAAGGGGAGTTCTACCGCTATAGTTTGATGGAGCATGTCTCGAAATCCATCCTCCATACTTTCATTTTGCTACACCTCAGTCATCTTCCGACTTTATTCCACGTTGATATGTGATGCTGACGGGGAAACCGCAATTTGTAAATAGAGACACGAGAGTGACACGTAATAATGCACTTAGTGAAAGCGCAATCAGCAAATTTCAGATAATTAGCTGATTACGTATTTCGGTATTTTGTTGTATTGCGCTGTAGTGATATCTATTGCCTCGATCAATTGAGACCAAGGATAACAAGTACGCAACCTATCTCGGGTGGGTGGGTGGGTGGGGGCAAAATTTTATTGTTGTTCGGCAAAACGCACGTTAGTGCGAAGTGGGCGACTCCCATGTCGGGGCCACCAGGTCGCTTGGTGGGCCTGCTGGATGGGCCAGAGGTGGTCAGACAGGAGAGAGCTGCAAAGGGCCGCCTCCCACCTGGCACACTGACCCCGATACTACCTATCTCGGGTGATTCCGTAAAAATGTGTACTATACTTATAAAAAATGAAACAATTTGTATTAAATTTTTTTTCTTTACTGGCCTCTCCTCCGCAGACCATGGTGCAACAGCTGTGCAGTGGTCCATGTCTCGCCATGGAAATCAGAAGCTTGTCGAATCCCGAAAACTCAGCTCTCAACTTCAAGGAGCTGGTTGGGCCAGCAGACCCTGTAAGAACATCTACTGCCAAGACATTTATTTCAAACTCTGCAGTATATATTTTCAATAAACAATACTCTGTCGTTCTAGCAGTTGCTGTGCACCAAAAGCGGGGCATCATATCAAACAAATGGCTTATTTTTACTTTGTGATGTTTTTTTTCTTTGCCTCAAATATATTCAGTTTTGCTTCATAATGCAGAGCTACTTCATAATGTAACGCGTGATTGGACTGAATTAGTTTTCTGGTGACTCGAACGGCATTGCTCTCCTTATTTGAGAAATGGACGAAGGACTCACAGTATCTTATTACTTATAAAATTCGACATTTTATTGGCGTGGGGCAGCCAGAAAGTCAACTGAGTTAGTTGTCATGCTAACCTGACCTTTTTCGATATTCGGTTAAAAGAGTCAACAAATTTAGAAGAGACTACAATCACGGAGGTCAAATGACGGACAGCGAAGTATAGCGTATTGTCTGGAGCCCGGCGTACTCTGTTTACCCTGTTGTTAGGCCTACGTCGAAAACACGAGACAGTATTCGCTGCTTTGTATGCTTTCATCGGCAGACTCTCGCGAGGAGGTTGTATCCGGATTCCCTGCGAGCCGCAGTGGGGAAAGACGCACACAGGAACGGCGTGCATTGCACGGACGTACCCGAGGATTCCGGGATCGAGGTATGTACATACGTACATGCCGCCATTCGCAGATGGGCGATGTATTATCACTCGCATAAGCGCGCTAAAGCGCTGGCCGATTTGTCGACTTGCGAGCAAAAAAAAAAACAAACAAAAAATGATCTGTTTCATCACGTTGTATAGATGTGACAGTATTCGCGGGAAAATGACAGATTTTCGTCCGTACCAGGTGTTTGCTCGTCTTTCGTAATAACCATGTCCCAACGCACGATTGCCCGACACGTGCTTCCAGAACAAATATTTTAGCAGAATCTCAAACAGATATGCGACTTTCTTTTATACATGTGGGAGTCACATATGTGTAGCACTCCTGTCGACTCTCTTTGGTAAAGCCATGCATTGACTCTCTTTTTGAAAGCCGTGTGCTATTTTTTAGCGTACACTCCTGAAACTCTGACTCTCTTTTATACTTGTGGGACTCTCTTTTACATGTGTACGTGTACACACACGCCCACACTCACGCACGCACACGTAGACGCATACAAAGCTGAACATTGCCGCCTCTTCCGGCAGGTGGCCTAGAATTTAGACTTTTGGTCTGTTTTAAAATGCGCAAACAACGCGTACTGTGCTGTATATGAATGAATAGCCGCCAACTTATAAGGAACATAAATGTTTTCTGACAGCGCATGGGATCAAAACCTTTGATGCTGACAATATGTACTAGAAACCACGGACAATGTTTCCCAATGTCTCCCCAGGGCCTTTAGGGATATTATGAAATTTCAGAAAAATAGGCTGACGTCACCGAGTCGCAGATTTGCTTTTGCAATGTGTGACTGCTACGCTTGTAGTAACCGTTGTGCCCTTCAGTCATGCTGCTTTTGGCATGTATACAAAGTTGTCAAATAAGGTTCATATCTTCAGCTATCTTAAGCTTTGGTTTCCCCATTCTTCTCTATCACTGCGGCATGATACGTTTTAGCGACAGTTCGTTTTCAGTCTGCATGATATAAAAAGACATGTTTTAAGCTCGAGAAGAAACTTCACTTGGATTTCCGCAATCAGCTTCGATATTGTTCTATTTGCAGGTGGAGTTTTTCTTCCATGCTGGAAAAACTTGATGCTCCATGGAAAATAAAAACTTCGTGATCTTCTTCGGGGCCCAGCCTCAAGATAAACTGTTTGTCTTCCTTGCAGTTGCATAAAAACTGCGATCAAGCAAGAAAGCAGTCATTAAACGAGAGCTGGGCACAACGGCAGACTAACTTAAAACAGTAATTTAACAAAGAGGTGGTACTTGAGCATGATTACAGAGTGTAAGGAATGACTTTTTACTAAGCGCCAACAAATCAAACAAATTGAGCAACGCTTAACTGAAGATCTACAAGTCTGATACCGACAATGGTATAGCAGGATAAGTAAAAGACAAAAAGAACTTGAGCACACACTTTGCAAGTGAATAGGAAAGTGTAATACATTCGCCAGACTACATTAGGTGCATAAATTACTTAAGTAATAAATGAACAATGCAACTTATTATTAAGCATGCATGTGTTTCCGCTGATAACACAACAATGCATCAAAGAATATGCTACCTAATAGTTACGCCATCCAGATAATTCATAGAAGTGTGTTAATCAACGTTCCACTGAAAAAACTAAACTTGAAATGAATTTTTCATCACCAGCATTGCCATGTTGATATCTTCATTTGTTTCATTTCGAAAAGCGAAATCAAGTAGAGGAAATGATATTCACCAAAATGTCTTCTCAGAAGCCTATCTATCTATCTATCTATCTATCTATCTATCTATCTATCTATCTATCTATCTATCTATCTATCTATCTATCTATCTATCTATCTATCTATCTATCTATCTATCTATCTATCTATCTATCTATCTATCTATCTATCTATCTATCTGTCTGTCTGTCTGTCTGTCTGTCTGTCTGTCTGTCTGTCTGTCTGTCTGTCTGTCTGTCTGTCTGTCTGTCTGTCTGTCTGTCTGTCTGTCTGTCTGTCTGTCTGTCTGTCTGTCTGTCTGTCTGTCTGTCTGTCTGTCTGTCTGTCTGTCTGTCTGTCTGTCTGTCTGTCTGTCTGTCTGTCTGTCTGTCTGTCCGACCATCTATCTATCTATCTATTTGGCGACTGGGGTATTCTGTATCTTAAACATATGTGTGCAGTAAAGGCCACAATCTAGAAAGATCTACGTATGCACTACTTGATCTTACAACAAATTGAAACGTGCAGAAAAGACCCGCCAAAATATAGATTGAATAGGTATGCGACAGGTGGCGCTGTAGCAGCTACTAATATCCCAGCTCTGCTGTTCGGATTCTCTTCGGGTGTTCGCGTGGTGTGTATGCTAAAACACTAAAAGACTAAATGACAGGCAGAGAAATGCTTTATTTGGGGGCATGACTACACTACAATCTTGGTCATTTATGCTGTGTCCGCAGAACGGAGCATGCGAACCTCTAGACCCGTCACCGAACGTTCATTCTTCTGTGAATTCTCGACAGAAAACGATGTGATCGCAGTCGTTTTCTCAGAGGGCAGACATATGATCTCTAGATTGTCGCCTACATTATGCAAGCCTGTGAGATTTTTCGCTGTCAAGGCGCATAAATGTATAGCGAGCGAAGCACTTGGGTGCGCAACACATACAATATCCAGCGTTTCAAAAGCTCTGCCGACAGCAGCGCCACCGCAGTTTGCCGCAGAGAGCCAGCCGCTTGCGCGTCGCTTCTCCTGGCTCAATTCGTCGCGATCTGCAAGCAACCCTGAGCATTGTTGAGCCGAGGAGAGAAGCGCTCCTCTCCCCGTAGCATTTGTTCGTGCGGGCGCGTCGGGTGCGGGATGTTGTGCTCCGTTTAAAGGCCCTGTTCGCCAAAGTGTGTTGTGCTGTGGCGATCGCTGCAGGCCGTCGGGCAGATTCACCGCTCGAAGTTCAAGTCAGCTATAGGAGCCAGGCTATGGGATACACCCGGACTACCTAGCATCGTCCCTCGACTTGCCTGCACGCCGCTCGGACACGCGCGCGCTCCTCACAGGCGGCCTGGCCCCTCGCCGCGAAAGACGCCGAGCAATGGGGAAGCAGAACATGTTTGTGTTCGTGGTCGCCGCTCTGGTCGCGAACTTGTGGCACGCCGCCGAAGCGCAGAGCAGTGAACCCGGCTGCTCGGGCGTCAAGTACGCCTTCCAAGGGAAGGGATTCGAAAACGACGTCCCTTCGCGGGCCATCTCAGGTGAGCCACTGCGCATGACAATGACTTGCGTCCCGCCATCTATTCCTTCTTTTTTCGGGCCGACAGCCGCGTTACATTCCAGAGTGGTGCGTGTTCTCAGATAGGATGTCATCGTTCGAGCGATTGATCGTGCGTTTCTACATTACGCGTGGTTCGAGTGTTACCGTTCCATTCAGCATCCTCAGCGAGTGAACGACCTGCTCCTGCGAGTGAAACCGGATGTACCTCGGGTTGGTGATCTTCCAAAGAATCGGGATTCGTAATTATAGTTCGTAAATAATATCTACGAGTACTGAAATTTCGTCACACTCGATATTGAGCTGTGATATCAAGCGTTATAGATTACCTTTATGCTTCACTCGGCGCCCTTATATGGGGGTCAGATCCCTTTCTCATATCATGATGGCTGAGACACGGTCTCGGCATTGAATTATTTGTGACCTGTCTGGGGACACGATGAGTGCTTCACTGGAAGCTGGTTTACCGAAAGAATACCTAACCAACACGCGAAATCGTGCCAGGAGCTGGTATACTTAGCGCCTACGTCGTTATCCCAATAAGAAATTTTTGCCCACTATGTGACATCTATTATACATCATTCGGCTTGTTTCAGAAACCGATTTGATAGTATCAGTATGGGCAGGCTACCGTAATTAATTTGCTTGCCACTGGCGCACTGCGGCAAATCGTTAGTCGAAATCCGCAACGTTTTCGTTACTGCCAAGATTGCTTTAACGTCATTCGTTGAATCGCTGTATATCTGTTATCTTTGGCGAACAAACCGTGAGCTAATCGATAGTCACGTATTCGGTGCGTTATAACCTTCGATAACGCACTGTTTAAGACAAATGTCCGGATTTTCTACGGATAAAGCGCCAACCTGCCATGCCTGTCATTGTGACTGCAGCCCTCGGGCTTCTTGAGAAAGGGGACAAGTCGTCAGCTGTTGCTGCTAAAAGCTGGGTGCCATGTAGTTCGATTTCGTTTGCCAACTAGTGTTCGTTCTTGTTTGACTTGGAAGAGAGGTGGTGCAGGCAAGCTGCATACTGACGGTTCTCAACGGCAGAAAACGTCGAATCGCGCGCGAGCCGAGCTTGGTGCGTCAGCCTTTGTAGCTTTTCTTCTACTACCATGCAGCTTCAGCTCCCACCATGAAAGGCCGAATTAGGTATAAAAGGAAATTGGATATTCCGCCAAGGCGTCTGGTTTCGAAAAAAGTGTTTAACGATCTAGAGTACATGGTACTCTACTATGGGCGAGCATAAAGCCGTCCCTCGATAGACTTCTTGCATGGTCCTCTCGCTCTTTACAGGCGTTGACTTGCCTTTATTTTTTTAAATTCTTGTATTGTATTGTGATCTGGTTATTGATTATCTCAAGTCACTCCTACTTGCCTTTCCTATTAAATATAGCCGCCCTTACATTGTCCTCGTTTTTTTCGTCCATCTCGTCCTGACACGCTTTTGAGCTGGCAATTAAGCCGTCATTACCCATTCAGGATATCAAAAGAAAAGCAAAACAACATAACCACGCAGTTGGCGCTGGACGGGTGGCATTTGTTTGACACATAGCGGGAAGAACGTCTTCATTAACAGTGGAGTTTTTTTTTTTTTTTAGTTTGTAAACGGGGCAGGCGCTAGCCCGGCGACCAGTATTAGAGCCGTTCATATCTGTCACTCATTTTCGAATATCGCGTATTCAGCTCGCATCGTGTCACGCGGTGCGCCGCCGCATTCAATAATTAAAAGCGGGCCAGCCAGCGGCCGTAGTGGCTTTCGAACAGTGGTGGAACCGAGCGGCCGCGGGTTACCTTTGCGTACAGCGCGCCGTTATCCGCGCTTCGCACCTGCACCGCTGGAAACGCTGAACGTGCGCTGGGCGCCAAATTGGCTCGTCCGAGCGCGCTTCGTGCAAATGGACGTAACGGTGAGGTAGGTGGGGAGTCGGAAGATGGACGCGTGGTTGTCCGGCCGCCGCGGTCCGGTTGCTTCCGACAGCACAGTACGCGGCGCGAAGGCATTTCGAGTCGATTGCATCTGTTTACTTAGGCGGTTGCCTCTTGTACTCCGCCGGTCGACCCTGCTGTCCGGCTGATGAGCCTGTGCGTGGGAATGTGCGGCCCGCCTATTACTCTAATGGCGGAGTGTTTTAGAAACCGAGCTGCGGCCTGCAGCGCATGTTTTCGCATATTTTGTTTGCTCGCTGATGGGAGCACTCGAGCAAAGTGTGTCGTTGGCGCTTTGCGGGAAAGCCCGCTTCCGCGAAACCAGCCTCTCCCGCGTCGCATATCTCTTATCGAGTACGCTTGTTGTGTACGCGGCTACTCGTGAACGAGCCCGGCTCTCTAATGCCGTGTTTTGCCGCGTTCCCAATCGCAATGGCCAGTGACAGCACCATTTCTTTCGACAATTTCTAGCGAGCCCCCACTGGGCAGCTCTAATGCTTGGCCATCCCTGCGCGCGCGTTTGCATGGCGCGGCACTCGAGGCACACGCTATTTAGTATAATGCGGTGCATCTTATCGTGAATATCGAACTTATGTCACTGCGTTGCGAAAATTCTCTGCACAGTGCGAATGCTGTAATAATCCCAATTTAATCGTCACGCTTATCACCCGAAAGTGATTCGCGTGTTCGAATCAGGTACGTAATTATCGTGACAGTAGCATTCGAAGAGTTTACTGGACCATACGTAAGGTAAACCACTAAAGTATTGAAAGCAGTGACAGGTAGCACTTAAGGATCACATTGAGTACGCAGAGAAATATTGAAGTTGTGATTGCCGTGCTGTGGTTCTGTCGGCATTGTGTTGTGAGGTTGCAATACCCCGTTGTAGAGGTAAGCTGTGGTATAAGGCGGAAATAAGTGTGTAGGGGGGAGGGCGGAGGGGGGAGGTTCTGTCGTGCTCAAACCGGTGTAAATGCAATCCATGGTGGAAGGGAATTTACGTATACCTACTCCCGGCTCGTTCAAATTTCGACGTTTCTTTCAGTTGCACATCAGTTTTCCGCACTTACTGACGCAGCGTGGCGGTCATATAACACAGCAAAAACGAAAAGGGACATTTCAACAAGCAAGTGAGAGTGGAATCCCGAGTCTCATACGTGGGGCCGAGGGTACGCGTATGAGCTTTGGCTGCTCTTCTCTCTGGCTACCTCTCCCCGTATTCCAACGTTTTGCTTCGTTCGGTGCCTCTTAGACTTCCCGTTTCGAACACAACCCCCTTTTGCGGGGCCTATCCGGGGGGGGGGGGGGGGGAAAGCATTCGAAACAGGGGACGGTACGTTGCAGTGGAGCGAGCGATGTCTGGTAGTTGGCCGAAATTCCTGCCATTCTTCGGCGCAACTCAGCCGGCGGCGAAAAAACTTTGCAATCTCTGAGGCAAGCCGGGCGTACGCGGGACGCTCTTCTGTCGTGGCCTTGGAGACGGTGTTTCGAAGAACGAAGCCAGAAGAGCAGGGAGCACCCAGCGCCACAGCAAGCGAACGCGGAAATGTGAAAGAGAAAACGAGACAGAAAACAAATCAAGGTTTAACGCAATCAGCGGAGCGAACTAACGCAGGACGCAAGAGAGCGAGCGCTGAGAGAGATACAGAGAGAGGGAAAAAAAAGCAGCAACAGCCCGCATTCTTCTGCTATGCAGACAGAAAGAGAGGGGGAAATGAGGGTGAGCAAGAGAGAAGTGTGCGAGGAGAAGCATTTATTACCACGCAGCGGCGCGCGAGGAAAAGGGGATTTTCTATTACATCTCCATCCTATTATCTCTTTGCCCGCGCTTCCAGTGTTTGCGCTTTCTGAGCCGTTAGCTCACTAGCTGCTGCTGCTGCCTGCTACTCCGACGACGGGCAACTGGTGTTTCGCGAGCGGCGGTGTTAAAAAAAAAAAGGAGGAGGAGGGGGGGAAGGGAGCAATAATACGTTTCCGTTTCGGCGACTGCCTGTCCACCGGCAAATTAGACATCGATTCCCGTTCAAGAAGGCGCCGTGAAAGCACACGGCGTGACGACGAAGAAGGAAGCACCGTGCTTTGAACGGTTTTCGGGAATTAGAGTGTATATACGGCAGCGGCATGTGCGTATGTAGAGTGCGGGTGAGAGAGAGAAGGGGGGGTGGTGTGGAGGGCATGGAAAGAGGGCTGCTCTCTTACCGTGAGAGGAAGGTTTTTTTTTTTTTTTTGCGATTGCTAGTGATGAGGTCTAACACGAGCGCGTTGACCGCCTCGGGAGAGGAGTCGCGGGGATGAGAAAATCGCGATTGCTCTTATCAGGCGTGTTTTTTTTTTTTTGAAGAGCCGCGCTCGGCTTCATCATTGGTTCACTTTAGGTTATCAGCCTTCCCGTGGGGAGAGAATGATAACGAAAACAAAAGTAGGGTGGTGGTGTAGAAGCAAGCGTGTTCGAGTCTACACACTCAAAACAACAACAAAAAAAAGGTCGTGGGCGTCATACTCGTAGAGGTACCCAATTTATAATCTTGTACGTCTTCGTGAGTGCAGCATATATTGTTTGGCTGTCCGCTGCTGAGTATTATGATGTCGCACCAATATGCTCAAGGTTTCTTGTTCGACTGGAAGCCACGGTGGCTGCATTTAGAGGGAGAGCGAAATTCGAGACCGTCCGTGCGCTTAGCTTCAGGCGCACGCAAAAAAAAAAAAAAAAAAAAACCCAGGTGGTCGAAATTAATCTGCAGTCCCTCGCATATTCGTAACGGAGAATTTGGCATATGAAATACAAGAAATCATACTGATGTTAAAGGTTATGCGGAACGTGCAAGGATCGCCTCTTGCGGACGGTATATTATAACGTGTAAGAGTTTTCCTAGGGAACGCAGGAGGCCGCATTCGTTTCTCTCCTTGCCCCCAAGATTGGATGCCCGAGTCCCGTGTGTACAGTGCACTTCATCCGAGTCGACTTGTTCGCTTGTTTGCTCGGGCGATGTGTTTTTCACCGAAACGCGCGAAGACCAAACGCCTCGTCCTCGCCAAGGCCTGCGTCACGACGAGA